ATTGCCTCCACGTTTCCATGGTGGGATTTTGCCTAAAGGATACTTTAAAGCAAGGTAAGACTTGCCTCATAATATGTAATAAAACATTCAGGTTTCAAACAATTAAGTATGTTTTCTAAATGCATTCTGCCTCCAGCTCACATTGTAAAGTGGTGGGTGATGTGCTGATAGCCTGTTGCCTGCACTTTAATGGTGAATGGAAGGCAGCTTCAATTACCAGTTGAGAAATACCAATGGTAGTTATTTGATATCATGCACCAAAAGTTGTTTTTAACAAGCGATTCCATTTAGAAATGTTGCGCAATGAATGGGCTTAGAAAAGCATGTTTAACTCCAGCATCAACCAGCTGAGATCTGCAGGAGAAATCCTGCTGAAAATAGGCTCTGAATGCTGTGAGCGTGTGATAGTTGTTTTGGATAAATAATATACATGATGACTAATGAAAATACACAAAGGACAATTTAATTACCCTCAATTATGCAAATTAACCTATAGAACGGTAAGCATGACAGTCAAATGCATTTCCATCAACTGGTGTTCCCATCAATAAATAAAAAGCATTATTTTACAATGGGATTTTTTTTCTGCCAATGGCCAGCAACAGTTTTATTTCATTGCCGGCTAACGGAAACCTTGGTGTGTGTGTGATAGGGGGTATGGATGTTCTCAAAATGCTAAATGTCACCTCCTGACAGAGAACATTACTATCCTTGAGAGTGATTCAGTTTAGAAGTCACTGATACTGCTAGTTGGCTGATACCCTCCTCTCCTCCTCTCCTCCTCTCCTCCTCTCCTCCTCTCCTCTCTCCTCCTTTCCCCTCTCCTCTCCTCTCCTCTCCTCTCCTCTCCTCTCCTCTCCTCTCCTCTCCTCTCCTCTCCTCTCCTCTCCTCTCCTCTCCTCTCTTCTCTTCTCCTCTCTCCTCTTCTCCCCTTATCTATTTTCCTCTCCTTTCCTTTCCTTTCCTGTCCTCTCACCTCTCCTCTCCTCCTATCCTGTCCTTCATCAAAGGGAAGAGAGAGGGAAAGAGAGAGAGAGACAGAGAGAGATAGAGAGAGGGAAAGAGAGAGAGACAGAGAGAGAGATAGAGAATTACCGCAGAATCAAACATCATCACTGGCTGAGCCTAAAATAAGCACCAGCACACACGAACATTGAGCTCACTCCCGGTGCACACTCACACACTCACAGACTGCTACAACACAGACTGCTACAAACCAAATCAGCAACACAGATACTCACCAACACAGATACACAACCCCACAGAAAAATGTACACACACACACAAACGCACACAAACACAAACACACACAACCATGTTAAAACAGCATCATTGCATCCATATTACGGCACTGAGAGAGTCCTTTCGTTCTCGGTCCAGAGGAGAGAGATAGAGAGCAGAGAGAGATAGAGAGTATACATCTCGCTATAGCATATAGCATATAATCTCGAGAGAGAGCTCGCGAGAGCTATTCGCCCTCGCTCTCGCTCTCTCGCTCTCGCGAGCTCGCGCACGCGTGCGCGCTCCTCTCTCGCTCGGCTCTCTCGGCTCCCTCTCGCTCTCGCGCGCTTCCGTCGATCTCTCTCTCGCTCTCTTCCTCTCTCTCTCTCTCTCTCTCTCTCCTCGCCTCTTCTCTGCTCTCCCCCCTCATCTGCTCTTCTCATGCTCTCCCTCTCTTTGTCACTCTTCTCTCTCTCGCTCTCTCTCCTTCTCCCTTAACTACTCTCACTCTCTCTCTCTTTCTACTATATCATATATCCTAGATAGAGAGCGCTGCGATATCGATCCTATGAGCTCTCTCTCCTCTCTCTCTGCTCTCTTCTCTCTCTCTCTTTTCTCTCCCTCTCTGCTATCTCTCTTCTCTTCTCTCCTCTCTATCCTCTCGTCATCCCCCTCTCTTCCTCTCTCTCCTCTTCTCTCTCCTCCTCTCTCCTCTCTTCTATCTCTCTCTCTCTCTCTTTCTCTTTCTTCCTTCTCTCGTGCTCTCTCTCTCGTCTCCTCTTCTATTCGTCGCTCTCTCTCCTCCTCCCATCTCCCTCTCTCTCTCTTCTCTCTCTCCCTCTCTCTCTCTTCCCTTCTCTCTCTCTCTCTCCCTCTCTCTCTCTCTCTCTCTCTCTCTCTCTCTCTCTCTCGCCTCTCTCTCTCTCTCTCTCTCTCCTCTCGTCTCTCTCTCCCGTGTCTCGCTCTCTCTCGTTCAGCTCTCCTCCTCTCTTCTCTCCCTCTCTCCTCCTCCTTCGCATCTCTCTCTCTCTCTCGCTCTGCCTTCTCTCTCGCTCTCTTCTCCCGTCCCCCTCCGCTCTCTCCTCGTCTCTCCCCCCTTTCTTTCCCATGGTCTCTTCTTTTTGATCTCTGTGTGAGCTTGGAAAATCTCTCTTCCCTTCCTTTTTCTCTTTGCCTTATCTTTTTTCATCATTGCGATCGCTCTTTGCTTCTCTGTCTTCGCTCTTGCGTCCTATCCTCAAGGGGTCCCCGGCATGCCCTTTGTCCTTCCTTCCTCTCCGTCTTCTTTTATCTCTTGCTCTTTCCCTTCCTTCGTTCCTCTTTCCCCCTCCTCTTCTCTTTCTGTTCTTCTTCTTTCCCCCCCTCTCTCTCTCCCTCCTCCCTCCTTCCCCCTCTCTCTCCCTGCACCCCCCCCCCCGCCCGCCCATCCTCCTCTGTTTCCCCCCGTCTCTATCTCCCCCCCCGTCCATCCTCTTATGCCCCTCCTCTCCTCTGCTCCGGGCAGTGATCCTCCCTCCTTCCGGCACCTCGCTCTCTCCCCGCTCCCCAACCTACCTCCCTCCTCTTTCCCCCCTCATCTAATAACACCTCCTCCACCTGGACAAAACATCTTCTATACTCCTCCATATGGAAAAAACATCTATATACACCCGCTCATAGGACAACATTATATATACCCTCCTCCATATGGACAACCTCTATAATACAAAAACTCCTCCATATCGTACAACAATCTATATATACCTGCCTCCATATGTCCAACCCTCTCTCTCCCACCCGTCCTCCATATGGACAAACTCTATATAACAACCTCCTCCATATGACAACATCTATATAGCACCATCCTCCATATGTACAACATCTATATACAGCACCTCCTCCCTATTTCCCACCTCTATCTCTTACGCTCCCCCTCTTTCCAAGCAACATCTCTATATCCTCCTCCCCTTTCCCAACACCTCTCTATCGCCCCGTCCTCCCCTCTTTCCCACGCTCTCTCTTACCCCCTCCTCCATATGGACAACATCTATATATTCCCCTCCATAATGGACACACTATAAAAAAAAAACCTCCTCCACATGGACAACATCTATAGATACCGTCCTCCATTATTTGTCCAACATCCTCTCTATACCGTCCCTCCACACTTGTACACACTATATACACCGTCAGCTCCTCTGGCCAACCTCGTATAGCTCCCGCCCCTCCTCCAGTCTGGCTCACCCATCTCTCTCCGCAGCCTCCTCCATAATGGACACATCCATATACAGACCTCCTCCAATGGACAACAATCTATTTACACCTCCCACATGGACACATCTATATACAAACCAAAACACCTCCCTGCCGCCATCTTTCCCACACAATCTCTATTGCTCCCCCCATCCACCCTCCTCCCCCTTTCGCCCCTCTCAATCTCAAGGTGGTCATCTATCCCACCTCCTCCCTCTTTTCCCCACCTCTCGATCTCCCCGCCCCACCCTCCTCCCTTTTTCCCCCACTCTATCCCGCCCCTGCCGCGTCCTCCCCTTAGTTTCACCCCCTCTCTGCTGCCTCACCTCCTCCATGGGACAACATCTATATATACCTCCTCCATATACGGACCCACATCTATATACCACCCGTCCTCCCTATGGACAACATCTACTTTTCTTCTCTCTCTCTGGTTCTATCTCGCCCCCACCCAACCTCACTCGCACATTTACCCACCCCCTCTTCTCTCCCTCCTCTCCTCTGGACCCCCCCGCTCTCGGTCCCGGGACCCCCCAATCCTCCCTCTTCCCCCCTCTCTCTCTCTAGCTCCTCCCTCTTGGACCCCCTCTCTCTCCCCCCGGTAGTCCTCCCTCTATTCCCCCCTCGTCTGCTATCCCCACTCCTCCCCCTTTCCCGCGCTCTTCTCTCCCCAAGGTTCCACGGGCCCCGGTCTACCCTATTTTACCCCTCTTCTCTCTCCGTTCTCCTCCCTCGTTGGGTCCCTCCTCTCTCTCCACTCGCAGCTCCTCCCCCTTTCCGCCACTCGTCTCTCACTCCCGCGCGCTCTCCATGCCCCAACCAAAGTCCCCGCTCATGGACAACAGCTATATACACCTCCTCATATGGACCACATCTATATCAAAAAACCTCCTCCATTGGACAACATCTATAATAATACAACCTCCTCCATATGGCACACCATCTCTATACACCCTCTCCATCTGTACACACACTCTCTAGTCACCTCCTCCCACTCCTTGACCACATCTCATATATCACCAGATCTCTCCCCACTTTACCAGCGCCTTCTCCGTCTCCCCACCCTCGAGCTCCTCCCGCCGTGGTTCGCCCTCTCTCTCTCCCGCGTCCTCCGCTCTTCCAGCGCTCCCTCTTCTCCCCCTCCTGCCCTCTTTCTCCCCCTCTCTCGTCTCGCCTATGATCCTCCCCTTTCCCCCCATCTCTCTCATCGAGCGTCTCCTCCCTCTGTCCCCCCTCTCTCTCCTCCCCCGAATACTTACCCCCCCTTTCCACGCCTCGTCGGTCTCTCCCCACCCGTCCTCTTTCCCGGCCCCTCTCTCTCCGCGCCAGCCAGCCCACCAACCGCAGATCCGCTCCCCCTTTTCCGCCACCCTCTCTCTTCCCCCCTCCTCCCTCGTTTCCCCCCCTTCTCTCTTCATCACCAAAAAGAACATCCTCCCCCTTTCGCCACCGCTCTCTGATCCCCTTCCGTCCTCCCCGTTTCCCCGGCCCATCTCTAGTCGCCGATGGAACTCCAACGCGCTTCCTCCCTCCTTCCCCCGCCACTTCTAGTCGCCGTCTCCTCGCCTACTTTTGCCTCCCCTCCGGTTCTTTCCGTCATTGACCACATCCTGTGGCGTAGCTGCCCCATCCTTCCCCCCTCTCTCGTCCCCCGTCCTGCCGCTCTTTCGCCTGTGCCTCTCCTGCTTGCTCAGCCTGCTGCCTTCCCCCCCCCTCCATATGACAACATCTATAGACACCTCCCTCCACATTGGGCAACATCTATATATCAATACCTCCTCCATATGGACAACATCTATATATACCTCCTCCATATGGACAACATCTATATACACCTCCTCCACAGTGACCAACATCTAGTATACCAACCTCATCCAGGTATGGCAAGCAAACAGTCTATATTACAACCTCCTCCTATGGACAACATCTATATACACCTCCTCCCTATGGACAACTCTATATACACCCCTCCATATGGGAACAACATCTTATACAACACCTCCTCCATATGACGACATCTATATAAGACCCTCCTCTAATGGACAACATCTATAGATAAACCCCGTCCTCCACCATTTTACCACCCTACTATCACCCGCATCCTCCCCACTTACAACATCTATCTCCCCCGTCCTCCTCCATATGGACAACATCTATAATATACCCTCAATCCATATGCAACTCTATATATACCAACCTCCTCCACATGGACAACATCTAGATATACCTCCCTCCATCGACAAACCTCTATATACACACACTATCCATCTTTGACAACATCTTTCTCCAAACACCTCCTCCATATGGACAACATCTATATACACCTCCTCCATATGGACAACATCTATATACACCTCCTCCATATGGACAACATCTATATACACCTCCTCCATATGGACAACATCTATATACACCTCCTCCATATGGACAACATCTATATACACCTCCTCCATGTGGACAACATCTATAATACAACTCCGCCATGGTGGAACAACATCTATCTCTCCCTCCTCCTCTGGGACCACATCTATATAACAAAAAATACACCTCCTCCACATGGAAAACATCTTATAATAAAACCTCCTCCATATGGACAACTCTATATCAACCGCCTCATAGTGGACAACATCTATATACACACCTCCCTCCACATGGACAACTTATAGTCCACTCTTCCTCCATATGGACAACATCTATATACACCTCCTCCATAGGACACAGCTATATAGACCCTCCTCCATATGGACACCTCGATATAATACCTCCTCCATAATGACACATCTATATACACCTCCGCCACATGGAAACATCTATATACACCTCCTCCAAATATTGACAACATCTAGATAAAACCTCCTCCATATGGACAACATCTTATACCCCCTCCTCCCCCTGTACACCATCTATTACACCTCCTCCACATTTACCCGCCTTATCTACACCTCCCTCCACATTACCCCCCTCTCTCTATCCCATCCTCCCTATTTCCCCCCTCTATCGCCACCCCCCTCCTCCCCCTTTACAACATCTATCTCCCCGGCCCGATCCTCCCTATGTACCCCCCCTCTCCTACCCCCTCCTCCCTCTGCCCACCATCTCGTTCCCCGCAAATCCTCCACAGGACAACTCGATATACACCGTCCTCCCATGGACAACATCTATATACACCTCCTCCACATGACAACACTGATATCCAAAAAACAACCTCCTCCGTATTGACAAACATCTCTAAGACACCACCTCCTCCATATTTGACCACCTATATTAAAGCCTTCCTCCATATGGACAACATCTATATACCAAAACCTCCTCCATATGGACAACATCTAATACCACCTCCCTCCATATGGACAGCATCATCTTAGCCTCCTCCACATGTACAAGCATCTTATCACACCTCTCCCTCCATATTGTCCAACCATCTATATCTACCTCCTCCATATTTCCAACCTCGTATATCCCACCCTTCCTCCCGCCATAGTGGGACAACATCTATATCACCTCCGCCCATATGGACAACATCTATATACACCTCCTCCATATGGACACACATCTATCACCACCTCCTCCATAGGGAAACATCTATCATACACCTCCTCCACAGGACAACAGCTATAATATACCACCCCTCCAGATGGAACAACATCTATATACACCCCTCCATATGGACAAAACAGCTATATACACCTCTCCCTCCACATGGACACCATCTATATACAAACCTCCGCCATAATGGACAACCCTATATATACCTCCTCCATATTGACAACATCCTATATATACCTCTCCTCCATATTAAACATCTATATCTAACCCCCAACCGTGCCTCCATGCTTTCCCACATCTTCGTACCCCCCTCCTTCCATCTGTCCCCTCCTCGTCTCTGCTCCCGTTCCTCCTCTTTCGCCCCATCTCTCTCTGCACCTCTCCTCCCTCTTTCCCCCCCCTCTCGTGCTTACATCCTCCATAGGACAACATCTATATATAACCTCCTCATATGGACCACATCTATATGCAGCACCTCCTACATATGTACCACTCTATCTACACCTCCTCCATATGGACAACATTCTATATAACCCGTCCTCCCATGGACAACACTATTACAAAACCTCCCTCCACATGGACACATCTATTAACAAACCCTCCTCCACATGGACAACATCTATATATACCTCCTCCATATGGACAACTCTCTCTACAAAAACCTCCTCACAATGGACAAAACATCTATATACACGCTCCCCATATTGACAACATCTATATACATCCTCCCCTCCTATGGCCAAACATCTATAATACAAAAAAAAACTAACCTCCTCCATGTACAACATCTATATACACCTCCTCCATACGGACAACATCTATATACACCTCCTCCATATGGACAACATCTATATACACCTCCTCCATATGGACAACATCTATATATACCTCCTCCATATGGACAACATCTATATACACCTCCTCCATATGGACAACATCTATATATACCTCCTCCATATGGACAACATCTATATACACCTCCTCCATATGGACAACATCTATATACACCTCCTCCATATGGACAACATCTATATACACCTCCTCCATATGGACAACATCTATATACACCTCCTCCACATGGACAACATCTATGTACAACCTCCTCCAACATGGACAACATCATATACAAACCCTCCTCCATATGGACACATCATGATTAAACACCTCCTCCACATGGACAACATCTATATACACCTCCTCCATATGGACAACATCTATATACACCTCCTCCATGTGGACAACATCTATATACACCTCCTCCACATGGACAACATCTATAATACAAAACTCCCTCCATATGGACCAACAATCTATTATCCCGTCCTCCATACTTACCACCTCTATATCCCAACACACGCCCCACCATCCTCTCCATGCCTTTCCCCTCGTATATCCCAGCCCTCCTGCCCCCTTGCCCCCCTCTCTCTGCTCACAGTCCTCCCACGTTTCGCCCACCATCTCTACAGGATCCAACCTCCTCCATATGGACAACTCTATATATACCTCCCCATAGGGACAACACTATTACCACCTCCTCCCTATGGACAACTCTATATACAACCCTGCCTCCCTCCACATTGACAACATCTTGTCCCCACCATCCCTCTGTCCTCCATCTTTCCAACGATCTATATACTTCCTCACATCCCTGCTTTCCCGCATCTATCTACCCACCGTTCCTCCATAAAAATAGAGCCATTTCCCCCCTCTTGCTCTCCCTGGTATCCTCCCTCTTTCCCCATCTCTCTCCCGGCCGACCAGGTCACTCCCTCTTTCCCACCCTCTCTATCCCTGCCGTCCTCCATAGGACACTCTATATACACCTCCTCATATGGACACATCTATATACACCCTCCTCCATTTGACAACATCTTATATACTCCTCCATATGGACAACATTATATATACCTCCTCCACATGGACAACATCTTATACACCTCCCCTCTCACATGGACCCATCTATATACACCCCTCCATATGACAAACCATATATACCTCATCCATAATGGACAACATCTATATATACCTCTCCTCCACATGGACAAACTCTATATATCCTCCTCCAGATGGACAACAGCTATTATACCAACTCCTCCACAATGACAACATCTATATATAACCACCTTCCCATATGGACAACCTCTATATACAACCTCCTCACCTGACAACATCTATATACAACCTCCCCATATGGACAAAATCTATTATACCTCCTCCACATGGACACATCTATATAACACCTCCTCCATATTGACAACATCTATATAACACACAACTCCTCCAGACTGACAACATCCTATATATACCTCCCCGCCATATGGACAACATCTATGTACACCTCCTCCATAACGGACAATCTATATACACCTCCTCATATGACAAATCTATATATACCCCCTCCTTCCCATACCATCCTCCTATGGACAAACATCTATATACAACCATATACAAGAACAACAAACCTCCTCCACATGGACAACATCTATATATACTCCCCATATGAACCACCCATCTATATATACCTACCACCTCTCCTATGGACAACATCTATAGACACTCCTCCACATGGACACATCTATAATCCCTCCTCCGTATGGACAACATCTATATAATAACACCTCCTCCAGATGGGACAACATCTATATACAACCTCCTCCATATGACAACATCTAATACACCTTTCCTCCATATGGACAACATCGATATACACCCTCCCTCCATATGTACAACTCTATACCCTCCTCCATATGGACCACATTTATATATAACCACCTCTCCACATGGACAACTCCTATATACAACCCTCCTCCACCTGGACAATCATCTATATAACAAACACCTCCTCCATATGGACAACATCTATATAAACCTCATCCATATGGACAAGCATCTATATATACCCTCCTCCACTGGACCAACCTCTATTATACCCGCCTCCATATGGACAACAATCTATATACACCCCCTCCATTTGGAGACACATCTCTTATACAACACACCTCCTCCATATGTACAACCTCTATATACCCCCCTCTCATATGGACAACAATCTAGTACACCTCCTCCCCATTTGGACAACTCTAATATACCCTCCCTCCATATGGACAACATCCTATATACACGCTCCCCTCCTCCATATGTACAATCATCTATAACACTCCCTCCATTTTGACAACATCTATATACAAAACCCTCCTCCATGTGGACAACACTATATATACCGCCTCCATATGGCCAACATCTATATAACAACCACCTCCTCCACATGGACAACATCTATATACAACACCTCCATATGACAACATCTACATACAACCCTCCTCCATATGGCCACCTCTATATACCCTCCTCCCCATGGACAAACATCATATACAACCTCCTCCATATGGACACATCTATATACAATACAACACCTCCTCCATATGGCCAACATCTCTATATATGATAACTCCTCCATCTGACAACTCTATATATAACCTCCCTCCATATTGACAACATCTATATACAAACGCTCCTCCCATGGACAACATCTACGTACAACACCCTCCTCCATAGGACAAACATCTATATCACCTCCTCCATAATGACAAGTCTATATACCTCCTCCACATGGACACCAATCTAGTACACCTCCTTCCACATGGACAACATCTATATACACCTCCTCCACATGTAACAACAGCTATATATCACCTCCTCCATATGGACAACATCTTATACAAACCTCCTCCACATGGACACATCTATAGAACACCCTCCTCCATATGGGACAAACATCTATATACACCCTCCTCCTATGGACCGAAACAGTCTATATACAAGAACAGAACACCTCCTCCCATGGACAACATTATATCCAAAACCTCCTCCACATGGACAACATCTATATACAAACCTCTCCACATGGACACCATCTATATCCCCTCCTCCATATGGCAAACATCTATATACAACCTCCGCCATATGGACAACATCTATAGATACCTCCTCCATAGACAACATCTTATCACAAACAAACCTCCTCCATATGGACAACACTATATACCCTCTCGCCTATGGACACTCTATATATACCTCCTCCACATGGACAACATCTATATCAACACCTTCCTCCTATGGACAACTCTATATATACCTCCGCCATATGGACATAACCATCTATAACAACTCCTCCATGGTGGACAACATCTATATACAACAGACACCTCCCCATATGGACAACATCTAATAACACCTCCTCCATATGGACACATCTATATAACCTCCTCCATATGACCACATCTATATACACCCTCCTCCACATGGACAACTCTATATATCACCTCCTCAAAAAAATTGACAACATCTATATACAAACACCTCCTCCATATGGACAAATCGATAACACCTCCTCCACGCATGACTAACACTCTATATCACCTCCTCCATTGGACAACCATCGATTATACCTCCTCCATATGGACACACTATTCTACCTCCTCCAATGGAAAAAACAACATCTGATCTATTATAGACCTCTCCATATGGAAACATCTATATACACCGCCTCCATATGGACAATATCTAATATATAAACCTCCTCCATATTTACAACATCTATATCTACCTCCTCCATAGGACAACATCTCTATTACTCCTCCATATGGACAACATCTCAAACATCTATATATACCTCCTCCATATGGACAACAGCTATATGCACCTCCTCCATATGGTACAACCATCTATATATCACCTCCTCCATGGACAACATCTAGATACACCTCCTCCACATGCAACATCTATATACAAATACACTCCTCCACATGGACACTCTATAACAACTCCTCCACATGGACAACATCTATATATACTCCCCTCCATATGGCAACATCTCATATCCAACCCCTCAACATGGACAACATCTATATACAAACACCTCCTCCATATGGACAACATCTATATATAACCTCCTCCATATGGACAACATCTATATACAAAACACCACCTCCCTCCATATACAACCTCTATATACAAACACACCTCCTCCATAAAAAAACGGACAACCTCTATATACAAACCTCCTCCCTATGGGAAACAACATCTATATACACCTCCTCCATATTGACAACATCTATATATAAACCCTCCTCCATATTGGACCTCATATATACACCTCCTCCATATGGACAAACATCTTATCTACCTCCTCCATAGGGACAACATCTATAATACACCCCTCCCTATGGACAACATCCTAATACAAAAATACAACCTCCCCTATGGATCAACATCTATATATAAACCTCTCCACATGGCACATCTATATCCCCACCTCCTCCATTATGGACAACATCTATATATACCTCCTCCATATGGACAACATCTTATACAACTCCCCCTGTGGACAACATCTCTATACACCCTCCTCCATAATGGACAAATCATCTAATACACCCTCCCCTCCATATGGACAACATCTATATACCAAACAACAACACCTCCTCCATAGGACAACATCTATCTACAAACCTCCTCCACATGGACACATTAGATACCCTTCCTCCATATGGACAAACATCTTCTATATACAACTCCTCATATGGCAACATCTAAATTACAACAACCTCCTCCACATGGACAAATCTATATACACAACCTCCTCCATATGGACAACATCTATATATACCTCCTCATATGTACAACATCTATATATACCTCCTACCAATGCCCTCCATAATGGACAACATCTATATATACTCCTCCAATAGGACCACCATCTATATACACCTCCTCCATATGGACAACATCTATATATACCTCCTCCATATGGACAACATCTATATATACCTCCTCCATATGGACACATCTATATATACATCCTCCATATGGACAACATCTATATACCTCCTCCATATGGACAACATTATATGCACCTCCCCATATGGACAACATCTATATACACCTCCTCCTATGACAACATCTATATAACACTCCTCCACTGGACAACTCTATAGCCACCTCCTCCACATGACAACATTTATTACACCTCCTCCACATGGACAACATCTATATATACCTCCTCCATATGGACACATCTATATACACCTCCTCCACATGGACAACATCTATATACACCTCCTCCATATGGACAACATCTATATACTACCTCCTCCATATGGACAACATCTATATACACCTCCTCCAATGAACAACTTATATACACTCCTCCATACGACAACATCTATATACACCTCCTCCATATTGACAAATCTATATACAACCGCCTCCATATGGACAACATCTATAATATACCTCCTCCATATGACATCTATATACAACCTCCTCCATATGGACAACATCTATAGATACCTCTCCATATTGACAACTCTATATACCCTCCCATATGGACAACATCTACTACACTCCTCCATATGGACAACATCTATAATCAACCTCCCTCCATATGGACACATCTATATACAACCTCCTCCATATGACAACTCTATAGACACCTCCTCCCAATGTACAAACATCTATATACCCGCCCCATATGGACAACATCTGTATACAAAAAAACCTCCCCATATGGCCAACTCTATATAACTCCTCCATATGGACACATCTATATACACCTCCTCCCTATGGACAACATCTATATATATACCTCCTCATAGATGGACACATCTATATACTCCTCCTCCATAATGTACAACTCTATATACACCTCCTCCATATGGACAACCCTATATACACCTCCTCCAATGGACAACATCTATATATACCTCCTCTATATGGACAACATCTCATACAACACCTCTCCCTCCATGTGACAACATCTATATACACCCTCCTCCATACGGACAACATCTATATATACTCCTCCTCCACATGGAACACTCTATAACACCTCCTCCACATGGACAACATCTTATACACCTCCTCCATATGGCAACATCTATATACCCTCTCCACATGGACAACTCTATATCAACCTCCTCACATATTGACAAACATCTATATACACCTCCTCATATGACAACATCGAGATATACCTCCTCCCAATGGACCACAATCTATATACCCGTCTTCCATATGGACAACATCCATATACCCCTCCTCCATGACATGGGACAACGATCGTATATATACCGGGTCTCCCATATGACAACATCTATATACACCTCCCCATATGGACAACATCTATATATACCTACCTCCTCCATATGGAACACATCTATATACACCCAACCTCCTCCACATGGACAACCTCTATATTACCCTCCTCCATAGGACAACATCTATATATACCTCCTCCATAGGACAACATCCATATACACCTCCTCCACATGGACAACATCTATATACACCTCCTCCACATGGACAACATCTATATACACCTCCTCCATATGGACAACCTCTATATACACCTCCTTAACATGGACAACATCTATATCCACCTCCGCCATATGAACAACTATATATACAAAACCTCCTCCATATGGACAACATCTTTTTATACCTCCTCCACATGGACAACATCTATATACACCTCTTCCATATGGACAACATCCATATACACCTCCTCCACATGGACAACATCTATATATACCTCCTCCATATGGACAACATCTATATACAACCTCCTCCATATGACAACATCTATATAATCCTCCTCCATATGGACACATCTATATACACCTCTCCACTGACAACACTATAGCCCCGCCTACATTGGACAAACATTCTATATTATAACCCCTCCCTCCAGTATGGACCACATCCATATACAAACCTCCTCCACATGGACACTCTATATATAACCTCCTCCACTGGAAAACATCTATTATCAACACAACCCCCTCCATATGGACAACATCTATATATACTCCGCCATATGGACAACATCTAGATACAACACAACCTCCTCCACATGGACAACATCTTCTATGAAATACTCCTCCATATGGACAACAGCTATATACACCTCCTCCATTGGACAAACATCTATATACACCCTCCTCAACATGGACAACATCTATATAACCTCCCGCCAATGGACAACATCATTACAAATAAACCTCCTCCACATGGACAACATCGATAGACCCTCTCCATATGGATGGAAACAGCTATTAAACAACCTCCTCCATATGGACAACATCTATATATAAACCTCTCTCCACATTGACAACACTATAGACACCTCCCTCCTCCAATATGGACAAAACATCTATTACACCTCCTCCATAGGGACAACTCTATATATACCTCCTCCACATGGACACCATCTATATACACCTCCTCCATATGGGACAACATCTATTACACCTCTTACATATGGGACAACCTCTATATACACTCCTCCACATGGACCCATCGAATACAACCTCCTCCACCCGGACCACATCTATCTTATATAACCTCCCTCCACATGGACAAAATCTAATACACCTCCTCCACATGGACACATGTATAACACAACCTCCTCCATAGTGACACATCTATATACAAAACGCCCTCTCCATATGGACCCCATCTAACTACCCTCCTCCATATGGACACAATCTAGATAACCTCAGTCCTCCATGGACACATCTATAATACACCTCCTCCCATATGGCACATCTTATAATACCTCCTCCACCTGGACAACAGCTATATACAACCTCCTCCATTGGCAAGCACATCTATATACAAACCTCCTCCACTGGAACAACATCTATATATAACCTCCTCCGATATGGACAACATCTTATACAACACCTCTCCACATGTACATAACAGCTACATACACCTCCTCCTCCATACGGAACAACAACTAGATACACCTCCTCCATATGGACACATCTATATACAAGCCGCCTCCATATGGACACATCTATAACACCTCCTCCATGGGACACATCTATAATACACTAACAACAAAAACCTCCTCCATATGGACAACATCTATATACAACCTCCTCCACATGGCAGACATCTATATACACCTCCTCCATATGGACAACACTAATATACAAACACTCCTCACATGACACATCTATATATACCACCTCCTCCTATGGACAACATCTATATCCAACAACAAAAAACCTCCTCCAAGGACAAACATCTATATATGCCACTCCTCCATATGGACATACATCTATATATCACCTCCAGGTCGCATCTGTACAACATCTATATACCCTCTCCATATGGACAACCTCTATATACAACCTCCCCATATGGACACACATCTATATACACCTCCTTCCATATTGACAACAATCTATCTCACCTCCTCCAACATGGACTACATCTATGATATACCTCCTCCAATGGACAACATCTATATATACCACCCTCCAATGTTGGACAACATCTATAGCAACCCCTCCATACTGACAACATCTATATATACCTCCATCCACATGACAACATTCTATATACACCTCCTCCACATGGCACACATCTATATACAACCTCCCCATATGGATAACATCTATAACAAACCTTCCTCCAATGGACAACATCTATATACAAACCTCCTCCATATGACACATCTATCTACAACCCATACAACACCCTCCTCTCCATATGGACAAACCATCTTATAGAACCCTCCTCCCACATGGCAACATCTATATACACCTTTTTCCATAATGGACAACATCCATAATACACCTTCCTCCAACATGGAGAAGCTTATATACCTCCTCCATATGGACCAACATCTATTACACCTCTCCATATGGACAACATCTATATCTACCTCCTCCATGTGGACCAACATCTATATACAAAACCCCTCCTCCATATGACACCATCTATATATAACCTCCCCATATGGGACACAACATCTATATACACCCTCCTCCAACGATGGACAAACATCTTATATACCTCTCATATGGACAACATCTATATAACACTCCGTCCATATTGACCACTCTATTACAAACCTCCTCCACTGGACAACATCTATATATACCTCCTACCTCCTCCACATGGACAACATCTATATACACCTCCTCCACATGGACAACATCTATATACACCTCCTCCATATGGACAACATCTATATACACCTCCTCCATATGGACAACATCTATATATACCTCCTCCACATGGACAACATCTATATACACCTCCTCCATATGGACAACATCTATATTACACCTCCTCAAGTATGGAAACACTCTATACACCTCCTCCACATGGACAACATCTATATACACCTCCTCCACACGGACAACATCTATATATACCTCCTCCACATGGACAACATCTATATACACCTCCTCCACATGGACAACATCTATATCCCCTGCCTCCATATGGACAACATCTAATACACCTCTCCATATGGACAAACATCTATTTACCTCCTCCAGATGGACACATCTATATATAACCCCTCCCATGGACAACATCTATATACACCTCCTCCATATGGACAACATCTATCTATACCCTCCTCCCATCATTACAACATCTATAACAAACAAAAACACCTCCTCCATATGGACAACATCTATATACACCTCCTCCACATGGACAACATCTATATATACCTCCTCCATATGGACAACATCTATATACACCTCCTCCACATGGACAACATCTATATATACCTCCTCCATGTGGACAACATCTATATACACCTCCTCCATATGGACAACATCTATATACACCTCCTCCATACGGACAACATCTATATATACCTCCTCCATATGGACAACATCTATATACACCTCCTCCATATGAAAACCAAACACTGCATTCCACAGTAAGAACCTCAAACCAACGGTCAAGCATGGTGGTGGTGGTGTGATGGTTTGGGGATGCTTTGCTGCCTCAGGACCTGGACGACTTGCCTTAATAGAAGGAACCATGAATTCTGCTCCGTATCGATAATTCTACAGGAGAACGTCAGACCATCCGTCTGTGAGCTGAAGCTGAAGCGCAGCTGGGTCATGCAGCAAGACAATGATCCAAAACACACAATCAAGTCTAGTGGGTTTGATCCCCGGGACCACCCATACGTAAAAATTTATGCACACATGACTGTAAGTCGCTTTGGATAAAAGCGTCTGCTAAACGGCATATTATTATTATTTTTTACATGAAAATGGCTAAAAAGCAACACATTTTAAGTTTTGGAATGGCCTAGTCAAAGTCCATACCTAATATCAATTGAGATGTTGTGGCAGGACTTGAAACGAGCAGTTCATGCTTGAAAACCCACAAATGTCGCTGAGTTAAAAGCAGTTCTGCATGGAAAGAGTGAGCCAAATTCCTCCACAGCGACTGTGAGAGACTGATCAACAACTACAGAAAGCATTTGGTTGGAGTCATTGCAGCTAAATGTGGCACAACCAGTTATTGAGTGTAAGGGGGCAATTACTTTTTCACACAGGGGAATTAGGTGTTGCATAACTTTGTTTATGAATTAAATTAAATAAGTATGTTGTTGTGTTATTAGAGGAGGAGAGGTGGAGAGGGGGAGAGGGGGAGAGGAGGAGAGGGGAGGAGGAGAGGGGGGAGGGAGGCGAGGGGGGGAGAGGTCGGAAGTGGGGAGGAGTGGAGAGGGGGAGGAGGGGGGAGGGTGAGGGAGGAGAGGTGAGAGGAGGATGAGGTGCGAGAGGTGGCATGAGGAGGAGAGGGCGGGAGAGGGGGGGAGGAGATGGTGGAGAGGAGGAGGGCGAGGCGTGAGGAGGACGGAGCGGGAGGGTGGACGAGGAGAGAGGAGGAGAGGGGGAGAGGTGGGAGGGGTCGAGGAGGAGAGGTGGACGGAGAGAGGGGAGAGGAGGAGGCGAGAGGGGGAGGAGAGGAGGGGAGGAGGAGGGAGAGGTGGAGAGGAGGAGAGGGGAGAGGAGGAGAGGGGGAGAGGGGGGGAGAGGTGGAGAGGAGGAGAGGGGAAGAGGAGGAGAGGAGGGGAGAGACGCGAGGGGAGGGAGGAGAGGGGAGGAGGAGAGGAGGGAGAGGAGGAGAGAGGGGAGAGGAGGAGAGAGGAGGAGGAAGAGATGGGAGGAGGAAGAGGTGGAGAGGAGGAGAGGTGGAGGAGAGGAGGAGAGGGGAGCAGGAGTGAGAGGAGGAGGAGGGGGAGAGGAGGAGAGGAGGAGAGGGGTGAGAGGAGGAGAGGAGGAGGGGGAGGAGGGGAGGGGAGGGGAGAGGAGATTTTGCTTTACATTTAAGTCATTTAGCAGAACGCATATCGCAGACGGCTTAAAGGCGCTAAAGTGGGAGGGGAGAGGAGGAAGGAGGAGAGAGGAGGGAGAGGAGAGAGGAGGAGGGGGGACAGGGGGAGAGGGGGAGCGAGCTACATTAGTTCGTTTGTCACACTGAGGAGGTCATCTTTTTTGATGTCCTAACTAATCTGAAATAACCACTTTATTTAAAACACAGTCCCACAGAGTCAGAGACACAGACAGCATATTAAAAGGAGCGGCTCCACAGCAGGGGACATGTGGGTTAGAGTCAGACAGACAGACAGGCCTGGGCCGACAGGCACAGACAGACAGACAGACAGACAGACAGGACAGACTGGACAGCCAGCCAGACAGACAGACATACAGCCAGACAGTACAGACCAGACTCATCCAATCTGCACTTTACTTTCTAAAGGGTGTGGAGTCCAACAGACAGACACCAGACAGAACAAAACTCAATCCATCTGCTTTACTACTTCTGATGCAGGCTGCTCTCTAGGGTTGGGATCTATTTTTGGGGTTTTTGTGGGTTTCTTTCTGATGCAGGCTGCTCTGCTGGTTGGATCTAGTTTTGGGGTTTCGGGGGTTTTCTGATGCAGGCTGCTCTCTGTTTGGATCTAGTTTTGGGGTTTTGGGGTTTCGATCTGATGCAGGCTGCTCTCTGAGTTGGATTCTATTTTGGTGTTTGGGGTTTCTGATGCAGGCTGCTCTCTGGTTGGATCTATTTTGGGGTTTGGGGTTTCTGATGCAGGCTGCTCTCTGGTTGGATCTATTTTGGGGTTTGGGGTTTCTGATGCAGGCTGCTCTCTGGTTGGATCTATTTTGGGGTTTGGGGTTTCTGATGCAGGCTGCTCTCTGGTTGGATCTATTTTGGGGTTTGGGGTTTAATACATTGAAGAAAATCAAGTTATGGAGACCAGTCTGCTGTTGTAGGGTCAGGGTGAAGTACCACATGACCAGGAGCATTGCAGCAGGAACACAACAAACACATCAGGACACCAGCATACTTCACTGATTCTATATGTCATTATATATGTCATTCTATATGTCATTATATATGTCATTATATATGATTATATATGTCATTATATATGTCATTCTATATGTCATTATATATGTCATTATATATGTCATTCTATATGATTCTATATGTCATTCTATATGTCATGCTATATGTCATTTTATATATGTCATTATATATGTCATTATATATGATTCTATATTTCATTATATATGTCATTCTATATGTCATTCTATATATGATTCTATATGTCATTATATATGTCATTCTATATGTCATTCTATATGTCATTCTATAAATGTCATTCTATATGTCATTCTATATGTCATTCTATATGTCATTCTATATATGTCATTCTATATGTCATTCTATATGTCATTCTATATATGATTCTATATGTCATTATATATGTCATTCTATGTCATTCTATATGTCATTATATATGTTATTCTATATATGATTCTATATGTCATTCTATATGTCATTCTATGTCATTATATATGTCATTATACAGTGGGGAAAAAAAGTATTTAGTCAGCCACCAATTGTGCAAGTTCTCCCACTTAAAAAGATGAGAGAGGCCTGTAATTTTCATCATAGGTACACGTCAACTACGACTGACAAATTGAGGAAAAAAAATCCAGAAAATCACATTGTAGGATTTTTTATGAATTTATTTGCAAATTATGGTGGAAAATAAGTATTTGGTCACCTACAAACAAGCAAGATTTCTGGCTCTCACAGACCTGTAACTTCTTCTTTAAGAGGCTCCTCTGTCCTCCACTCGTTACCTGTATTAATGGCACCTGTTTGAACTTGTTATCAGTATAAAAGACACCTGTCCACAGCCTCAAACAGTCACACTCCAAACTCCACTATGGCCAAGACCAAAGAGCTGTCAAAGGACACCAGAAACTAAATTGTAGACCTGCACCAGGCAGGGAAGACTGAATATGCAATGGGTAAGTAGCTTGGTTTGAAGAAATCAACTGTGGGAGCAATTATTAGGAAATGGAAGACATACAAGACCACTGATAATCTCCCTTGATCTGGGGCTCCACTCAAGATCTCACCCCATGGGGTCAAAATGATCACAAGAACGGTGAGCAAAAATCCCAGAACCACACGGGGGGACCTAGTGAATGACCTGCAGAGAGCTGGGACCAAAGTAACAAAGCCTACCATCAGTAACACACTACGCCACCAGACGTAGTGCCAGACGTGTCCCCCTGCTTAAGCCAGTACATGTCCAGGCCCGTCTGAAGTTTGCTAGAGTGCATTTGAATGATCCAGAAGAGGATTGGGAGAATGTCATATGGTCAGATGAAACCAAAATATAACTTTTTGGTAAAAACTCAACTCGTCGTGTTTGGAGGACAGAGAATGCTGAGTTGCATCCAAAGAACACCATACCTACTGTGAAGCATGGGGGTGGAAACATCATGCTTTGGGGCTGTTTTTCTGCAAAGGGACCAGGACGACTGATCCGTGTAAAGGAAAGAATGAATGGGGCCATGTATCGTGAGATTTTGAGTGAAAACCTCCTTCCATCAGCAAGGGCATTGAAGATGAAACGTGGCTGGATCTTTCAGCATGACAATGTTCCCAAATACACCGCCCGGGCAACGAAGGAGTGGCTTCGTAAGAAGCATTTCAAGGTCCTGGAGTGGCCTAGCCAGTCTCCAGATCTCAACCCAATAGAAAATCTTTGGAGGGAGTTGAAAGTCTTTGTTGCCCAGCGACAGCCCCAAAACATCACTGCTCTAGAGGAGATCTGCATGGAGGAATGGGCCAAAATACCAGCAACAGTGTGTGAAAACCTTGTGAAGACTTACAGAAAACGTTTGACCTGTGTCATTGCCAACAAAGGGTATATAACAAAGTATTGAGAAACTTTTGTTATTGACCAAATACTTATTTTCCCACCATAATTTGCAAATAAATTCATTAAAAATCCACAATGTGATTTTCTGGCATTTTTTTTCAAATTTTGTCTGTCATATTTGACGTGTACCTATGATGAAAATTACAGGCCTCTCTCATCTTTTTAAGTGGGAGAACATGCACAATGGGTGGCTGACTAAATACTTTTTTTCCCCACTTTATATGATTCTATTTGTCATTATACATGTCATTATATATGTCATTCTATATGTCATTATATATGTCATTATATATGATTCTATATATGATTCTATAT